AATTACCAGAAAAAATAAAATTCCTAAATGTAAGATCAACAGTGATGGGAGTAACGGCGTTACCTTTTTTTAGTAACAAGTAATCTTACTAATTACTTTGACTGTAACTATAACGCAGTTACAATTGCAGACACCCTGTTAGTGCACGTTACTCAGGTCGCACAATAAACCTTTTTTTCATGAAAGGACTCGTGCGCACCTTGTCATGAGAGAGAGGAGGATGAGAATGGCTGATGTATAGTGAGAGTACGTCTGTCAGTTGGGTATGTGGGTGTTTCCGCTGCCGGGTGTTAACGTACAGCACACACAGAGAGAGATGGAGAGTGAGGAGGACTCCAGCAGCAAAACAGCGTTTTCCAAATGGAAAAACCGGTGTTACGTCGAGCTGCGTTTCCCCATCAGATATAGTTTCCCCTGCATCTCTGCACAGCGCAGGCAGCATGATTCACCGTGCAAGCAACAGGAAACGCGCATGCTCGCTAAAGGCGCGTAACAGCCACCCTGTGCTCGCACCATAGGGGAACTACGGAGAGCGTTAACAATCAAATGTTATCCTATATGGAGAAATCGGGAAGGACGGACGGACGTGTTTGACCGACCGACCGGTAGATAAGCAGATTTTCAGATGTGATCAGGTTCATCCTTACGTAACAAGGTCAGAGGATGTTACCATGTCCAAAATCAAATACGTTCAAGAGAAAAGTTATTTATCATGCCATCTGTTATTGGAATAATTGCCCACTGAATATACATAAACTGGATAGTAAAATATCTTTTAATTATTACTTAAGAATGCACTTTATAATCTTGTGAGAAGTGAATCAACATATTTACTATATGAAAGTGAGAATTAATGTAATAGATAGGAATGTAATAACTTATTCTGAATACTTTCTGATGACATGTACAATAATGTCTACAATGTTTAATTGTTAAATGATTTTTATTTTGTCTCGTGAACCCCAGGAAGACTAGCTTGTCCTACTTTTGGTCACAGCTAATGGGAATCTTTTTTAACAATAAATAATCATATTGCATTCCTGTGCTGGTATTTAATATAACAATGGAAACATTTACCTTATTTAGTGGGTGGAGTGATTGTTTCACAGTATTTAGTAGTTCATCAGCCTCACTGCCATTACCCCTGGCAACCCAACAACATTTTCTGACAAGGTGTCGCTGTCGGCACTAAGCAATAAAAGCAGAGGTGAAACGTAACATTACAGGCTGCTGATGAATTGCTCTCTATGCATAAGTAAATCACTTTGGTTCATCCAGAGCTGCATCTGAATCATAGTCGGATTCAACTGTGAAGTAAAAAAAATGTGTAAACCCAAAGAATGTGTCAAAAACCGAGACATGTTATATGGCAGAATATAAAGAGGGAATTTTTTTCCTAAATGGTGTTTCATTATATTACGATTGTGAAGAGAGAATGGGGATCCATCTTGTTTTTTTCCATTAAGCTTATAGAAACTGTCTATGGTGCACCCACCAGAGTTGTATAACATAGCTACCTTGTGTGTATTTGTTGTCTGCTAATATATCCTTTAAGAAGATTACTGTTGGAATGAAAGTTAAAATAGAAAAACATGGCTCACCTAAACTACTAACAACATTTATTTGAAGGAAATCATTTTATCCCATTCTGCTGCTTAATTTCAAAGTATGCAATTTAAAAAAAAACACATTTCTAGAACATCAACAGAATAGATCTAA